AAGCACAAATTATGGGGGAAAAAGGGGCACAAAATTTCAGTCTTTAAGTTATGTTTTAAAATTCATTTTGGTTGTGAAAGTTTTCTGTAATTAAGCAAAATGCCTAGTTAGGATGTTAGCTTTGATTTTGGAGTTAGATTGTCAGCTCATTTGGAAGATTATTACCAACTGACTGCATCTGACATACTTTTGTAGTATTTGCTACAGTGGATTGACAGCCATCTTTGATGTGTGCACGTGTTAGACATAGAAACCAAAAAAACACACATCTATATTGCCTAGTCTTCTCTGCCAGACGCATGCTAAAACTCAGTTACTTTAGTTTGATCAATTTTTCTGGTTAACCTACATCTTGTTCTTATCTTAGTAATGCTCTTAGTAAAGGTTGATATCCTTTAATCTTATCTATGAATCAATTTTTTGATTTGTTTTACTAATTTTCTGTTTATTTGGGCTTAATGTAGTTGTGAAGGAAGTTGCTTGAGGTCTTTTCATCCAACAAAGGCTGATGGCTCTGATTCTCTCTGCCAATCTCTTGGCTTTCTCGATCATGTTCAAGTTGATGTATGAATATACTTTATTTTTCTGAATACACAATCTTTAGCCTTTTCTGTCCATTTTCTCCTTTTTTAAATAATTTGTATCTTATCTTGATGCAATCGTTTATATAATTTTAGGCCCTGCCATCCTTTTTGTGCAAAAATTGTCTCTACAAGCAGCATCAATGTTATGCTTGTGGAAAACTGGGCTCTTCTAACACATCTGAGGGCCAAGAGGTAAACAACTGAGTTTCATTATAAAATTGTTAGGGACTTCTTAATAAGGTGAATATATGAAAGGAATGTGTTTGTGCCTTATCAAAATAAATTGCAGAGTGATTTATGCATGGGTTATAAAAGGGTTGTCTGTTAATATAGAAATCATTTTTCTACTATATTAGTCATCAGGTGATGAACAACTCTTAACTGATTTTTTCCTACTCTCCATAAGGTCTTCTCATGTTCTTCTGCAACTTGTGGGCATTTCTATCATCCAGAATGTGTTGCTAGGTTGCTTCACATAGGCAATGAAAATGAAGCGTTAAAACTTCAAGCAACAATTGCTGCAGGGAAATCATTCACTTGCCCCATGCATAAGTGTTATATTTGTAAGCGAAGTGAAGATGCAGCTGTTCATGGCTTGCAAATGGCAATCTGCAGGCGTTGCCCTAAGGCTTACCATAGGAAATGCTTGCCCAAGTAAACCTCACTTTTTGTCTTCTTTACTTATTTATTTATTTATTTATTTTTGGCAGCATGTCTTTGTCCATGTATATTATAGCTTTTTTTTGCCTAACATATATATTGTAGCTTTTAAAGCTATATTATGAAGAATATGATATAGGGGAAAGATGAAAATAGGTTTTAACTTCTTGTGATGCTCTTGTTTTATTTTCAGGATGATCACTTCAGAATTTACCACTGATAAAAATCTTTTACAAAGGGCTTGGGATGGTCTCTTGCCAGAGAATCGGATTCTTATAAATTGCATGTAAGTTAAATTTGATAAGCTTTTTGTCTGACTTACACAACAATTATCAATTGCCTTATTGCTGCTAAATATGTTCACTAGGGATCACAAGATTGATAGAGTACTTGGTACTCCGAGCAGAGACCATTTGAAATTTCCTGATCTTGAAGGCAAAGAGAAACAAGACAAATTGGAGGTACCATCATGCAAAGGGAAGGTTACAGATTCAATACAAAGTATGTCTTCAGAACATTTTGCTGCAAATAGACCACCAATGAAGAAGGCTAAGCTGTTTCAAAAGTTTGGTAGCAATATTGAAGCTTATAATGAAACCACTAATGAAAAGTGTTCAAGACAAGATTTTGATATTTTGAAGAAACCAATAGGTGAAACTGGTAAAAACTACTTGGAGAAGAATTTTAGTTCTGATATTGAGAGACAATTCAAAACAGACAAAAGCAAGTTCTTGCCCACAAAAGGTAACACAAAACTAAACTTGGGATCAGCTATGGGTACATTGGGTGAGGTGTCTTCAAGGAGCAGTAAAATCAGGAATACTGTTCAAACAATGCCTATGGTGAAGCCCTTAGTTACTCTAGACATGGAGAAGGGGTAATTTGCCTGTCACAGCATAATCTTATTGTTGCTTTCTGTCAATAAAAGTTATGGCACTGAAGTCATTACATGATATTTGGTTTTTATGCTTATGAATGTCATTTTTTGATGAACAGAATTAAGACTAATGAAAAATTCTGCTTCTTCATTTAATGTTGAAGAATTCAAGAAGAGAAGGCAGATCCCAGTTACATATGCTTGTAACCCCTGTAAAATGTTGGACAAGACCATTACATTAGGAAGGGTGGAGGCTTCTGTAAGGGTATATCTTGCTGAAAACATTTGTACTGATAAGCATTGTTTTGTGATGTAGCTTTTGCTTTAATATAATAAAATTTCTCCCTATTGTTTCAGGCTGTTCAGGCCGCATTGGAAAAGTTAGAAGCAGGAGGCAGCATTGAGGATGCAAAAACTATCTGTGGACCAGAGGTTCTCAAACAGATTGCCATGTGGAAGGTTTAACCTATCCTTACTGAAGTTTCATAAAATTAATGGATTTTATTTATGCTGTTTATTTTTTGCTGCTCAGAATTTTAGGTAAAACTTGCATGCTAAGATCCTTTTTTTTTTCTTTCTTTGGGGGAGGGGGTTGTTAACATTTGTTTCAAATATTAATTTAGGGAAGTTTCATAATATTAACGAAATGTAGACTGTAGGCTATACATACACCTTGCATGTTAGGATCTTGGAAGTTTGTAAATATTATTTTCTCATTAACTATAAATGAATTACGTGGTTGCTTCTTTGCCTAATATGGTGAATTTTATCACCCCTTGCATGATTGATTTTTATAACTTGAGTGACTCGAACAATTGCATTTTTTGACTGTATGCCTCGTAGATTTCAAGTCTCATTTCTTCCATTAACATTCATTTTAAATAATTTGAGGTGGCACATGGCACACCTCCATATCCCAGGGAATGTACATATTCTTAAAAGCCATATTCATCCTTATGATAATAGATAAGCTGTACGCATTAAAGGATGTTCATTTATTGTGCACAAAATTTGTTTATAGAATACTGAAAACAGTCACTTTATTCTTTCTTTTTTAACCTTGTTGGCTTAATTTTGACATTAAGGGGTCGTAAATAATAGGTGTCTTGGCATCTCAGTGCAAATTTGTGGATTTAGTATCACTTCACTAAAAGTGCTAGTTCAGAACTTTCCTAGTTCAAGCTTCTGAGACAATGTCCTTTAGAACTTACACTGGACATTGTTCTTGTGATTTTTATTCAATGAGGAAATTGACACACTTAGGGTCTTCATTTGATTGGGAAAGTTTGGTAAACTGATTTCTGTAAACCATAGTTTTGAGATGTGCATTATATTATGTTGCATAGTAGACATACTAGACTAATAAAGAAGGCAGTGTAAAACATATTTTCTAAACTGCTGATTGATATTTTACCATAGGAGAAGCTCCAAGTCTCTCTAGCTCCTTTTCTGCATGGCATGCGATATGCATCTTTTGGTCGTCATTTCACTAAACTGGAGAAGCTTAAAGAGGTACTTATGTTTTTCTTTTTCCTTCTCTTCTAAATAATTGTTTCTATGTTGAAAGTTCATTCCTAGAAACTCCGATTGGAAACATTTGGTTGCTGGTCTAACTTGACCTCAGCATTTAAATTGTACCGAAGAAGTTATATGGCATTATGTTGATGCAATTCAAGTGCACTTGCCAAATGAATCACGATTTTATCTAGCATACAGTTTTCTCTAAATTTTGTGGTTATGATATTGCCAAAATATCTTTCTATCTTAGCTGCATTAAATTTCTGACCCATGAACAGGAAAAGAGAAGTGGAAGAGATTCCACCGACAGCAATGGTATTTTTGTCCTTTTAAGGCTGCTATTTTGTGGCTTTCCCTCATCTTGTAGGATAAAAGAACTGAGGAAAATGTTGACTTCTTATATTATTATATGCTGAAGTTTTGTTCTGCCATTGTCCTCGCTTCAAAGTCTCTTGTATTTTGGTTGACACATTATGATTTGAAGCTAAAGGCAAAATTTTCTGCAGATTGTTGATAGGCTTTGTTGGTATGTACAAAATGGTGACACTGTAAGTATATTATTTTACACTTTCTTTGGCTCACTTTCACTATTTGTTTTTATTTTAATGTGTATTCGATCTGTGGAATAATCAACATTACTGTGATAATGATAATCTTCCTTATTATTGATACTTGCCTTGTTTTGAACAGATAGTTGACTTCAGTTGTGGTTCGAACGACTTTAGTTGTCTGATGAAAGAGAAACTAGAAAATATGGGGAAATTCTGCTCTTTCAAAAATTATGATCTTTTTCGACCTAAGGTATTGTTTGCATTCTCGTGTGTCACAACCAGAGCTGCTATTTTATTGTAAGTCTTGTTACCATTTGTCTATTGTTGTACTATGCACAAGCTCATTTTCAACTTGAAGTTTGGAATCAAACATATTCTTTTATAGTTTTTATTTTTCTGATATGTTTTTCTCCATCCCATTGCCCTCACTGGGTAACCATCTTTTCACAAGGGACTTGCAGAAATCATGGCCAAATGAAATGCCCAATGTGTGCTAGTTTCTCTTTTCAAAGCCTAAAGGCTGAAGTAAGAACTTGAAGTGTCTACATGAACCTCCTTTATAAACAAGTTTTTTCTTTTAGTAATTCTTATTTATTAGGTTTTTTTTTTTTCTGAAATAGCTAAGTACATTATTTCAAAAGCCATTAACGTTAAGCAATCACCATGAATCATCCTTTGGATCCGATAGTTGTGACTTGTGACTTCTATATCGCCTTTTGTTTTACTCTGGGATAAGCAAATTATAATCTCATTCAATAGCTATTTGAAAGGTGTTTAATGGAGCCTGTTTCTAATATCAAATCAACTAATCTGTTTTTTAGGTTGTAATTGTTGAATGCTTAATGGCATTTTTTAGTAATGTTGTTCAGTAATCATCGTTTTGTTTTTAGTCCTTTCCACAGCTCTTTAACTCTTAAGGCTGTTTAAACGCAAATTCAGGTGTCCTTTACTCTTTTATGCCTGCAAGTTCTGTTTTTACAGTTAGTGATTTGTTTGCTGCAGAATGATTTTAATTTTGAGCAGAGAGATTGGATGAGCATCAATTTGAATGAACTACCAGATGGGTCTCAGGTGGTAAGGAAATAAAAGACTTGACTAAATTGTTAAGTTGTTCAAATACCTTAACTAATTGGCACAAGCCCTTTTCTGTTTCTCTTTCGTGGAATTCTTGGTGCCCTTTTTTTAATGCCTTTTTTTTTTTTTTTTTTTTTTTTTTTGAGTAGATCATGGGGCTAAATCCTCCTTTTGGGTTTAAGGCATCTCTTGCTAACATGTTCATTAACAAGGCTCTTCAATTCAGACCAAAGCTTATTGTTCTCATTGTTCCTGAGGAAACGAGACGGTAAACCCTTTTTGTTTATTTTTCTGACTTGATGTTGCTTTCCTTTCTTCCTCCCTTTTTTCTTGATCCTTATTTGTCTGTAACAGAATTGACAAAAAAGCTCCATATGATTTAGTTTGGGAGGATGATAGAATTCTATTGGGCAAGGTAAATGGCCATCTCATAGCTACTGAGAGCTTTTGCATTCAAAGGAATTTGACATGTTCTTTATTTTTCATTCAGTCATTTTACCTACCAGGGTCAGTTGATGTGGATGACAAGCAGCTGGAACAATGGAATTTGAAATCACCACCACTATATCTTTGGAGTCGCCGGGATTGGGCAGCCAGACACAAAGCAATAGCTCAAGAGCATAATCACATCTATAATGCACAAGAACGGATGGAGCATAATGACAACGAAGTTAGATTTAACCATCTCATGGAGGGGCATACTGATGGCTATGATGATTTCTTTAAAGATATGCAAGAATGTATAGCTCTCCCCTACATATTTGATGGTGTCCCCAAAGTTGACAATAATTTTGAATCTGGAGAGGTCAGAGCACTTATCCCTCCTAGGGAGCACAGAGGAGGCTCTTTTCCTGGTCATTGCAGCAGTAGTCGGGAGAATGATAATATGGCACTTTGGGAAACTGATTCTATGTGCATGGATATGGAAATATCAACTCCATAGGAAGAGGAATGGCAGTAGCCTAGGCTGTTAAGCATATTTGACAAATATTCAGACGATATACATATATATATATATATATATATATGTATTTTTGATATATCAAATGATGAATCCTACAATAAGAAATAGTCTTTTATTTCTCAAATCATTCTCCACTATCGCAAAATTCAAATTTAAGATTTTAAACATTAAGATTTACATTTTTAATTACTAAAATATCCTCTAAAGAACCAACGTATTTAAACGGATGGTAAAATAGGTTGACGTGTATGGCTTTAAAATACCATATTGAATGCTCTTTAAACTCCTAGTAATCTACTCTCAACTTTGTTGATATATCTCCTAGAATGTCTTTAAACTTGTAAGAGTCAATTCTATTAAATATGAGGATTTTGCACTTGGTGGCCCATTGGCCACCCCCTTGCGGAACATGCATAGGACTAGCAAAACTTGAGATCAAATCCCAGTCCCCCTTCCCCTTCCTCAGAAAAAGTTCTACACTGTTAAAAAAAAAATATATGAATAAAAATATGACAACCCTGAAATGCAGAGAGAAAAATATAGATCATAGTTGCAAACATTTTACAGAGCCATAAGCCTATTTGTCCAACAGTTGCACATGCCTTCCCATCAAATTCTACTTGTGGTCTTGGAAGATCAGCAAAGCTTAACGACATGGAAGAACATGAATCAAATTGTCTCAAAGGTGAGATCTATGTGTAGACATAATCCTATAGGATAAAAATAGGTCTAGTTCCTTTGTTCTTCTCCTCCTTTTTTCCGCTCTCTTCCTCTCCATCTTTTAGTGGGTAGTCCCAAATTCGTATTGAACCAAGTTAATTGAAGTAAATCAAAGAGGAAGAAGAAAAAAACAAAACAGAGAATTAAACAAAAACCTGCTACCCCCAAACAAGATAAGCATCAGACAAGTTTAATAAATTCACAAGTTTCATCAATTCACCCATGCCGAAATGATGAACATTTAGTATGCTTTTATTTCAGCAATTATTTGTGTTGTTTAATGGATGTGTCTAAGCGTTATATATAGTTATCAATACTACCATTTATGCTAGTGTTGAATAGGCTAAATTTCCTCTAAATAGAAGGTAAAAAAGACGATATTTGATCATTTATAATTACAGAATTATGTATATGCCACAGAAAAATAGCAACTTTTCTGCTTGATATAGTTTTAAATGAATGCTTTAAAATTCTAGAGTGCACTATAGGTCTCAAACAATTAAAAATACATCATTCCACAAAAGGTCACAACATAATAATTGATATTGAAATCAGCTAGATATTCCATATAAGGCATAAAAATCACCTACACTTACATAAAGATTTCAAACACTCAGTGAATAACAATAAATAATCTCCATTCTTTCTCTGTTCTAACTTTAAAAAAGAATATAATGGAGATGAATAAAAAATCAACTGGTGCTTACATCTGATTTTGGCAATAGAATCATCATTAATTAAGAGTCAAGACCAGAGAACCATCCCTTATTTTCTTGCTTCCAAGTGCTGAAATCGGCATTTACTCACAAGAAAAATTATGCGATTGATGCGGCAGCATATTGCAGGGAGCTAGATGGAGACAGTATTTTATGAACAGAAAAACTAACTTTTCTATGATACATAAAAAATTACCTGCTTAGGGAACATACATTAAGCTAGAATTTTAAAACTCCAGATTAAACAAAGCTGTAGGTTATAGGAATAAATTGTTTTTTACATATATTCAATGATTATCAGCTTCCACTATTGTCATCTAACATGGAAATTTGTTGGCCAGATAAAGAAAAAGCTCTCAATGTTTACATATAAACTGAAAGTTCCAAGCAGATAGAAAATTGAATATATAATTTGGAAACAGAAAAGGCTTATCCAATTTAAATCACTAAATCAAATATTATAATAGCAACAAAGCAACTTGTAGAATCAAATATCTTAGTGTTTGTCTATTTCATGTTGCCATGTAGCACCATCCCAATAATCAACTCACATATCTCCCCGGTATTCATGCACACTCAAGTCAATGCTCATTCTCACAACTTGAGTTGGCTATTGGAAACATTGAAAGACAACACATGAGGTGTAGATTTCTTAATCTAATGTAAACATCCATAGCTATAACCTTATAAAATATAAAACATAATTTTTTTAGAATTCACTATTTTGGCAATTTTCAATGTCAATTCATCTGTAATTTTATTTTTGTCCTTTAAATTCAATAAATCAACGTGAAGACTTGTAACCATTTAACAATCATGTAAGAACACCTAAAGTTTCATTAAACTTAAAACAGGAACAAAAGTTACTTAAACTTTTGTTGGGAAAATGCAAGGATGTAATGAACATAATTCATAGCTTTAAAAAGCCTAAAATCTGCATATTTTCTTATAATTGTCACATCATGAATTGAATAGAAAGAGATTAAGAAAGAGATTAAGAAAGAGTTAAATGTTGAAAACCTGCTTAACCAAGACAACTTGAGCAACCAAAAGTACAGCAAAGACTGGAGAAGTTTTTTGGAGAAGATAAGCACAGCACCTGAGAAGTATGATTGCAATCAAAGTCTTTCAAAAGCTAGTCTCCAAAAAAACTAGTGTTCTGCTTGATTGCTTTCTCCAATGCTTCTAACTGATAGCTAGAATTATAAAGAACCCATTACAAAGAATGTTATAGGAATATAGCACTTTCCTTGTATCAACATGGAGGAAAAATCACACACTTTGAAAAAAAAGTATACATATAAAAGGATTATGAATCATGGTAAATGGAAGACAAACAGATTGTTGTTCACGAGGTGGGTCAATTTCCATTGCAGTTGTATCCATACTTCATATTTGATGAAACTCAAGGTAAAAACAGTGTTCTTATGATGTCTTTCTCTTCCTTGAAAAAGCAAATGCATTGATCATATTTCATAAGACGTAAAGTAACTATATGTGAAAAGCAACAAACTTCATACAAATTTTAAAAACCTAGTTCAACTCTTTCACACCTTTTTTAGAAATATCGATCTCCATGAAAAATCAACTTAAAATCTATAAGAACTAAGAACCTTAAAAGCGATCAAGAAACCCAATGTAAGAGAAATAGATACAAAAGAGGGGACAAGGAAGACAAAGAGTTTGAACTTCTATAGAGGTTCTTACAGATTTCTAATTTAATTTTTCATGGAGATCAATATTTCTAAAAAGGGTGTGAAAGAGTTGAATTGGGTTCTTAAAATTTGTACAAAGTTCATTGCTTTTCATGTATGGTTGCTATACATTGTACAGAACATTATCAGTCTATCTGCTTTTTCAGGGAAGAAAAAGACACTGTAAGAACGCTGTTTTTAGTTTGAATTTCATCAACCATGGAAGTATGGAGCCAACAGGAATGAAAATTGACCTTGTTGATCCTCTCTCATTTTCCTAAAGGTGATTCCTAATCTTTATAAATATATATATATTTATATATTTCAGAATATTTTTCCTCGTGTTGATAGTTAAAAAGTGCTATATTCTTGTAACATTCTCATTCTTTATTATTGTAGCTATCAACCATTCACTATTGAAGAAAGCAATCAAGCAAAAGTTGGCTCTAGAAAGACTTTGATTGCAATCATAGTTCTTAGGAGTCATGTTTATCTTTTCTTAAAACCTTCTCTAATCTTTGCTGTATTCTTAGTTACTCAAGTTGTCTTGGTTAAGCAACTTTACAACATTAAACTCTTTCTTAATCTCTTTCTATTTAATTTGTGACATCATATATGTAGATTTTTGGGCTTATTTTTAAAGTTATAATTATCTCCCTTGCATTTTCCAGCAAAAGTTTGAGTAATTTTCGTTTCTATTTTAAGTTTAATGAGAATTTTTCTTACAAATGACAATTAAAAGGCTGAAATTCAAATCTTCACATGATTTATTGGACTTACAGAATGAAAATAAAATTACAAAATCATAACAAATGACTTGACATTGAAGATTGCCAAAATAATGAATTTTTGAAAACTTATGTTCTATATTAAATATGGATGTTTATAATAGATTAAGAAATCTTCTCATGTGTTGTGTTTCAATGTTAAGTGGGAAGAGAATTGATTATTGGGATGCTAGTACATGGCAACATGTAATAGACGAACACAAGGTTAGCTTCTAATATCCAAATAAAAAAACAGACTACTCATTCAGCAGTCATAAGACATACCTTCAAACAATCAATAAAATCACTAATCCAACAAAAATGACAGGAAAAAAAAGAAAGATAAAAACATTAAATAACCTCTCAAAGGCTCAAATAAACAATCAGAAATTTTAAAAAAAAGAAAACAACAAATCACAGAATGAATATGAACTCAACAAACAGAAGCAGGAGAAGTAGGGAAAAAACACAAAAAAAAGAAGAAAGAGAAGTGAAGAGGTGAAGATCAAAGTCATCATCAGCGTAACCAACAAATCCAATTCAAACCAAACTATGCCTCTCAACCAGTTACAGAAAAGAAACAACACTCCCCCCTAACCCCTAATCATTAGCAACTATGAAATCATTGTTTTTTCCAAAAAAGAAACCAAAATCAAACTAATCACAACAAGAAAAAAGGTTTCCAAAAAAAGAAAGAAAAAATAGTCATCATTGGTAAATAAGTGCAAGAAGCACTAAATCAGTTAGCTAAAAAGGGAAATCAAATAACATCCTTCCCATCAATATCTGCACAGAAAATAACAAACCGCTTGCTCTTTATAACCAATTGGATGAAGAAAATTCATGAAAAACAGCAACAAATTAATTGAAAACCTCCCAACATTACAGACAAAAGAAGGGAAAAAGAAGTTTTTTCCAAGCTCCAAACACCTACCTTTACAGCGAAATCATAGAGGGTTTCTTTGCAGCTGCTGTTGCATAAGTGGGTATCTCCTATAAGTTAGCTAGTTGTAAGAAACTTAAAAGGAGAAAAATATACTCATAGTATAGTGCAGTGCTTGAAAGTTAATTTATTAACTATGATAGCAAATCTGATATTTGTAATACTTTGTAAAGAGCCCAAGATGAAGCTAACCCTTTTCTACCTTGTCAGCCCCGGCATTCTCCTCCATCATCACAATCTCCAAAAACCCTCCAGCATTCTCATTATCACAATTTCCAAAAACCAAGATGTTAGTAACCCACAAATCATCTGAAATAAGTAAATAGAAAAGTAAAATAGGTAAAAAACTAACGAAAAGGGAGTGTCATATCGATGGATCAACATCTTCCTCTGTTTCTTCTTATTCCACCCAGCTAGGTATTGTAATCCTCCAGGGCTAAACCTAGGTAGAAACAAAGAAAAGTCTGAGTTACGGAAAGGGGAAGAGAGAAAAGAGCAAACTTAAATATATGAAAAGATTAATCCACAAAGACTGAAATGAAAAATCTGGAGCAATCTCTCCTCACATCGCCCCTACAAACCAACCGAAAGCCAAGCTTATCCCTGCCATACCACTCCCTCTTTCCCATTCTTCCGTTGAAAATAATGTCACCAGCTTCTCCCAATCATGAACCTAATCCTAACCCAATAAGAGAAACCTGCTCTCCGATCCTCTTCCTCTCCACAGCCCCCACACCATGCCATCCCTCTCAATCGACAGCCTAAAGCCCTCCCCACACCACCACTGCAAACCCATCAATCCCTCTTACTGAGCCAAGTTTACCTTCAGTCATCGACCTCACTCTTCAGCCCTGCCATTCCCCTCGTTCTCCTGTCTGCTGCAAATAAAAGAAAGAACAACCTCAATTTGGAATTACCAAAACACTCTTTTTGACCATTTGATATGAAAGAACAACTAAGGGCAATTTAGGGAACTCATTTTCTATTTTCTTTTGAAATCACTGAATAATGTCCATGAACAGTCGATTAGATTCCCTATGAAAATCCGCACGGAATGCCAAAAATGCTAGGGAAAGAAGGTGCTGCAAAAAGACATTTCTGAAATTCCCTGTAGAAAACAAAAAAACAAAAAAACAGAAGTATGAACAGGCTAGCTACAATACGCTAGGTTTGAAAAGAAGCCGTGAAAATTCGCCAAAGCCCAGGGGCTGTTTAAAGGGCAAAATAGGGCCTTCAAGTGACTCACCAATTTTATTTTGAGAAAAAATAATTTGCAAGACCTAATCGATGATTTAATATGTGCTTTTATGAATTTAATAGCATTTTCAACTGTTATGAGGGTTGTTAATTTTTTATATTTTAAAAAAAGAAAAAAAATATTGTTAAAAATAAATAATAAAATAAAATATAAAAAAACTAACTCGATTATTTACATTGTTTAGTAATATCAATCTTTGTAAGTAATTATTTTTCTAATGGATGAAAACTTATTTTGTTTTGAAAACCTCTTTATTTCTCTAGTATTTAAAGATAATTACAATAGCTACCAACTAAAATGCCTTTCAAGCTAAAAAGAATTACAACTTTAATATAAAGAAATATTATTTCAATGTCTCTTTTCATATAATTTTTTAAATTGCCCCAAAACTAGCCAACATTAGAGCCTCTCTTTTCTTTCTTTTTAAGGTACATAAAAGGGTAAGGAAACAAGATAGATTTAAGTGAGGGAAAGAAAGAAGGCGAGAGAGTGGAGAGACAAAAGAAGGAACACTGAGCAAGCTTATTTTAGAGAGGAAAGGGAAGAGACAGAGAGAGATAAGAAGAGTGAAGGTTGACTCTACCAATCTTATACTACCTGCGATAACAAAAATATAAAAACTTGAGAAAGGAAGAGAGTTGTATTAGCCACAACATAGTATACAACAAAGCTTGTTGTTCCTTTTTTTTTTTCTTTATCAACTGTTGACTCAATGCACTCCAAGAAGGGGGGTGAATTGGAGTTGGAGAATTTTCACCTCTTTGCAACCACCAAACAAAAATTAAAGAGAGAGTGGAGAAGAAGAGCTTGCACAATGATTTTATAGAGGTTCGGTCCAACCACTTGGAGCCTAGTCCTCTACCTTGGCTTCACTCACCAAAGATTTCCTCCACACTCTCCACTAACAAAAACAATGGTGGCTTAAAGGAGCCACTCAATCCTTTACATGAAGAAGGGTGTTTCTCTCAAATCTCACCCCTTTACACTTAAACCCCAAAGATCCTCTCTACAGATCACTCTTGAAGGAATCAACACACCCCTAAGATCACTCACTAATAGCACAAGAAGAGGATTACAAACAAAGATCTCTCAAAGATCAAAATCTCTAGTTAAAGCACAAGTTAGTAGGTAAAGATATTCAATATAATGTTCTCCAAACTTCTTCAGATCTGTTACCAACCATATTTATAGCCCTTTGCTCGAAAATAGCTATTTCTAGTTGTTGGGGGTCATTAAGTGCCCTGTAGGATGCAAAGCTACAGCTCGAGTTGTAAGATTGTCAGGAGAGCCGACTTAACTTTCTAGAGCCGGCTCTGTACAGCCGGCTCACCATTTCTGCAACCGGCTTTGTGGGATTCCTGCACATTCTATTTTGGTTAAATGCTAAATTTAGTCCCTCAACTTTACAAAATGCACATTTTTGGTCCCTTAACAATTTTTTGCATTTTTTTGATCCCTTGACTCTAAAAATTGCATAGTTTTGGTCCCTCCGTCAGTTAAGTATGATGTGGTAGTTAAATAATTTCATATGGCATTGTTTTTTAATTTTTTTGATGATGTGGCACTAATATATATTATAATTATGTTATATAAATAAATAAAAATGCCACATAGATTAATATACATATTTTAATTAAAAACATATAAAATTACCTTATTACTCTCATCCTCACCCTCACCCTCCCAATCCCTCTTCTTCCCCTTCTTTTTTTCTCTTTGGTTCAGGTTCAGTGGAAACCCAGCCTTGCTGGGTTCGTCGACCAGCCAAGGCTGGGTTTGGCTTGCTGGGTTTGTTGGAACCCAGCCAAGTAGATCTGGGTTTCGACAAACCCAGCTTTGCTGGGAAAGCTTGGTTCTTGTTTTTTCGTTCTTCTTTCAATTTCCATTTCCAGTTGTTAATATATTTGGAGATTGATTTATAATTTGATTGCATTTTTGTTGGAATTTGATTAAAGTTTGATTGTATTTTTGTTGAAATTCGATTAGAGTTTGATTGGTATTGTTTATTGAAGGGTTATTCTGATTTGGTAAGATCTGCCAGGTTTGAGGTTTTAATGAAACCCAGTAGCTCAAGTTTCCCCGAGAAAAGAGAAGAAGAAGAAATGGGTGGGTTAAGATTGGTTTTGTAGATGGAGTGGAGATGAGAGAGCATTCACGGAAGAAAAAGAAATGGGTTAAGATCGATTTTGCAGATGGAGTGGAGATGAGAGAGCATTCAGAGAATAAGAAGAAATGGGTTACGATCGATTTTGCAAAGGGAAGATGAGAGACCAGTTTGCAGGCAATTGGAATCCATTGGAGGGGTTTGGCGTGAAGAAGATGACATGTCATAAAAAAAAAAAGTCCAGATAAGCTTCTTTTTAAGTTATGCTTGCCATGTCATAAAAAAAAATAAAAAATTGCATGTGGCTGAGTTAACGGCCCAAATTGACAGAAGGATTAATGAAGTGCATTTTGTACAGTTGAGGGATCAAAAAAGTGCAAAAAATTGTTGAGGAACCAAAAATGTGCAAGTCACTAAAGTTGAGGGACCAAATTTAGCATTTAACCTTCTGTTTTCTTCCACAGCCGGCTGCAAAGCCTAGAGCCGACTTTGGGATTCCAACTTTAAACATATTAAATAATCTTCAAATAACTCGACCGTTGTGCATTAAATGCACCCTCATAGCCGGTTACAAAGTTGGAGCCAGCTCTACTTCCATTTTCCGCGCGCGCTAAATAGCAATTGAATTTCTAGCCTATAGAGCCAGCTCAACAAAATCTACAACCAGCTCTCTGCATTTTTGCTTCCCAAAGCTAGCTGCAATTTTCTTAAGTTGGCTCTCTGCATATTTTTACCCTTTGAGCCCTTTTTAATGCAATCTCATTTTGCTTACTTTGTAGTATATTGGCAATTTAACTACACACTTAAATAAATCAATTAGTCACTCAAATGTGTTTTGTAATTATCAAAATCATAAGTACAACAATCTCCCCCTTTTTGATGACGACAAAACACTTTGATCATGAAAGCATATATACTTCAATATTAACCTCAAAATTTCAGCACCAAGAAAATGACATTAAGACATTAAGACATTCTCGAAAATTATGAGAATTCAGCGTACTTTCTCCCCATTTTTGTCATTCATCAAAAAGTATATAAACATAGGCAATAAAGTCCCCCTTAATTCATGCTATCAACCTTTAAAGCATCAAGAATATGTAATGAATATAATCATCAATCATCATCAATATAGCACCATAGACAACCAAAGTCATGAATACAATCATCAACCAATAAACTCCCCCTCAATAAGAGCATATAATCATCAAAATCATAGTCAATCAATACCAAAAATCATGCCAATATCACGCATATCTTCTTGAGGAAATTGACTGAATTTTGCACAATTGCAAGATAAAACAGCTATATTCTTAATAATTTCATACTTTGCAGAAGCTTGGGTATCCAAAAAGAGATTTGATTGGGAGATGTTACCTTCTTCTTGAGCTTGACCACCGGTGTTAGAACTATCCACTTGTTTCTTTTTACTTCCAGCCCTTCTTGAAGCCATGAGAGAGAAAACACAGCAACCACACCAAAAATACAGCAAATCCCACACAAATTGGAGTGAAAAGCTTGAGGTTTTGTGTTGGGTAGGCAAGGATTTGATGGTATTTGAGTGTTTAAGGGATGGGCTTGTTTGTGCGAGGAGAGAGAAACCCAAGGCTTTAAAAAAATTGCAGGAGAGTCGACTCCAGTCCTAGAGCCGACTTAATTCTAGAGAGAGAAGACTCTCGGGTTTTTGGGTTGAGCCGGCTGTGAAAATGGTTGAGCCGGCTCTACTGGCCTTGATTGGGACAAACAGAAAGTTTGGGGCTGTTTTGAAGGGAGTGTACCTAATTTGATATTTCTTCATTTAACTAAGTTTAAATTGAACATCAACTATTAAATTATGCAATTTTAGTCATATATCAATGTGTGCATCATTAAATAACATGATTATAATCGAGGTACACATACTAAGGTCATCAATATGCATAAATTCTAATAAGCAAATACATTAATTTCAAAAGCCATATCAAGCACTAGGATCTAACATGCCAAACTCATTAATTTGCATAAATTTTAATAATCACATCAAATGATATCATATTCAACAAGCATATATATCAAAGAATGAACACACAAACAAATCATTAATAGTCATGTTGAAGTAATTATACTCAATGAATAAATGCAATAAAATAAATAATACCAATTTGAGCACATGAGTGGAGCATTCAAATACAAATTTTCTTTGCACTTTCACTCCAACATTCTTGTTGAGGCATAAGTCTTTATCAAGATCAACTTTACTCTTCTTTTGACTTTGCCATCAACTTTACCTACAAAACAAAATTAAGTTTTGATTTTTGGTACCCAAATTTACTTGGGTCCATGAGGGTTAGTGCTTAAAGTTCCTTTTGGAACCCAAATTTGACTTGCTCTTACAAAAGAATTTTTAAAAATCTTTCACTTTTTAGAATAATCAAATCCAATGCCCCCTTTGTCATAAATACTTCTTTGAGATTTTAAGATAGAATCAAATTTTTCTTTATTCAAGGTAAATTTGGAAATCACATTCTCAAGATCACAAGCTTTTCTCTTTAAAACCTCATTTTCCTTCTTTAAATCTTCATTTCCTTTCTTTAAATCCTCATTTTCCTTTTTCAAAGCATTATTAGA